TAGAGATTTTTAACAACAGGTTAGTAAAACATCTGCTAAGGCACAAGCAGCATATCCTGCCTTGAGATAGACAGGTGAGTTCCATAAGTTTTGGAGGTGCATTTTAGACCTGTTCTTAGCCTGTTTTCCAAAGGCAGTGAGGCAATGGCTTTCCATCCCAGTTTGCCAGCCCTTAGTGATTTCTGACCCACTGGGTGAACTTCAACCAACTTTAACAGAAGAATAGAGATAGCAAAAATATTAAGTTCCTACATATTTTAAGCAGCTATGGATGAAGAAAAGAGAACAAGGGAATTAATGTCTTCATTGATTTTTAATGTGGCCCCATATCCTTTCAGGGAGGCAACAGCCCCAGTTCCTGTGGCTTTCATTAGCACAGGGTATACACAAATCTGCAGGAACAAACTCTGCTGCTTCACGCTTCAATGAAGGAGAACAATATGGATGAAGTCAGAGTTGAGCTTTGGAAATCTACTTTGGCCTGCCCAGATAGCACATTTAGAAACAGCATTTGCAAATGCTCCCGTAACACTCCGACTGTACAAAGACTACAGGTCTGTCCATCTGACCTTGGTGTCAGGGAAGGTGATGGAGCAGATCACCTCAGGTGCGATCACACTGCACGTACAGGACAACCAGGTAGGTGATCAGGCCCAGTCAGCATGGGTTAATGAAAGGCAGGTCCTGCTTGACTAACTTCTCCTTCTATGACAAGGTCACCTATGACAAGGTGACCTGCTCAGTGGATGAGGGAAGGGCTGTGAATGTTGTCTACCTGGACTTCAGTAAAGCCTTTGACGACGTTTCCTACAGCATTCTCCTGCAGAAACTGGCTGGTCATGGCTTGGATGGGTGTGCTATTTGCTGGGTTGGTCTCTTCTCTCAGGCAACAAGCAATAGGAGAAGGAAATGACCTCAAGTTGTGCCAGGGGAGGTTTAGACTGGATATTGAGAAAATGCCTTCACGACGAAGGTTGTCAAGAATCGGAACAGGCTTGACACTGCCAAGGGCAGTCGTGGAGTCACCATCCCTGGAGGTATTTAAAAGACATGTGGACGTGGCATTTAGGGACATGGTTTAGTGGTGGACTTGGCAATGTCAGGTTAACAGTTGGACTTGAGGATCTTAAAGATCTTTTCCAACCTAAACGATTCTGATTCTATGTGTTTATGTGTCCTGGGTTCAGCTTAAACCACGACATTATGTAAACCTGATTTTATGCATCGTTTTCCAGCAGGCAGAAAATGAATCATCAATACCCAACGAGGCTGATTATGCCAATGAAATATTAATATCTGACAATACTAACCACAACAGATTGACAAGATATTTCCCTATACTGATGCCATGAAGTAAGGCAGATAGCTTAGAAGATATAGTAGGATAATTCTTACCAATAACAACCAAAAATCCTGTAACTGCTCATCAACAAAACTTACTATCATACCAAGACAGTTCAATAAAGTGTCTATTTCTGAAAGCACTTTATTTCCCCCTGTCTTCTACAATATCCTCGTGCAAATCTCACTCAGCACCCAGAAAGCATGAATCTTTCAGAATATTCTAATGTTCGTCTTTGTTGCCTGTGTAGGTTTTAATGGTAGTATAGGAAATCCAAGCTTGGAGAGGATTTTGCAAGGTGTTTTCTTGGCTTGAAAGCACATCATCCTAATGGAAATAGGACAAAATCTAAATGTTCCACAGTACTTTTCTATAGTACCTGCAAAAGTTTAGCAAAGTCATCATAGGAGAGGCAGAGATTATTCTACATCTGTATTCTGCTTTGCAACCGCACCGGTAACTCCACCTCATACCAAAGCAGAACAAGACTGCCTGGTGCAAAAGGCTACACTGTCCATAACCTTGCCAAACTTAAGAGGCACTAGGTTGCAATATCCTGTATTTGGGCAAAATAATGAAAAAATGGCTCAGACATTTCTAAGGAACAGGTCAATGCTTTGAGACAGCACCTGAAATTATGAGTTGTCAAATCCGGGCATCTCCAAGATGGGCTTCTGGTCTACCTTGCTCTAAGAGGGTTACCCCAGTTGGAACAGTTTTATGGTGGTTTGTACACAGTGTATGTGAAAACAAGGTGGTGAAATCAAAGCCAGAGATCTGATTTCCCCATGAACATGGCAAGGGAACAGGACAGATTCCCCAACAGCTATATATCCCTGGGAAAGCTCCCAGGGGGACTGTCAGGAATAAAGTAACTGTCAAGTAGACACAGACAGCTGCCTCTTCACCTCCCTTCCTACCAACTTCAGCACAGACACTGGCACCCGTGCTTGCCCATATCTTTGACAGAACAAATGAGGTGCAGTATTTATCCTTTACGTTGGCCTGCTATCAAGCACGTACCAGAGGGCAAACATAAACAGGAGGGCTTGGTCTACCTCCAAAAGCCACCTCCCACATTGGTGCTTGTGAGAAGCTCGGGGCTGTAATGTGGATTTTCCACAAGGAGTGTTCTAAAGACTGGTGATGAAAATGCCATCCATGCAACCAAAAAATCCCCTTTGGGAAACATTAGTTAGTGCCCACTTAGCAAGCAATGAGCCAGGGAGAAGGGCATATGTGTTTGAGATTTGTTGTGCCCATGATACTGATGTAGGATTAGTGGACCTAGGGTAGGATTAGTGTCCCTAATTTTATCCTCCCCTTTTTTAAAGCTAAACGCTGCTTCCTTAAAGCTGCTTGATCAGAGCCCCTTCCACTTCATATCAAACCCCAGTTCTAAATGTAGGCAACTGCTGTCTTGTTTAGGAGAAATCACAAAAATGAGAAGCTAAAAAACCCCATGTGGAATCTAATGATAAATAGGGCAGAGATGTAAACAAATAGATACCTCATGATGTGCAATGGTTCTCAGCTATTGTATCAACAAGTTTGTGTTACCCTGGAAACGAGAGATTATCGATGCATGCCTCCTCACAGACAGAAACCAGGAAGGGAGGCATGCAGAACTGGTTTTGAGTCTTCTGGACTTCTCAGAGTTGCCACCCAACTTTTGATGCCAACCGATCCCAATCCCAATTGATCCCAATCCCAGCTACTGATGAAAATTCAAAGGCAGTGCAGAGGTTGCACCATCCTTAATGCAACATCCACATCAATAAGGGTGAGTACTTGGTCATCGTGTCCTCTCCACCTTGGGATAACACAATTCTTTTCCAAGAAAGCACAGAAAGGTTGTTCCCTGAAATACTCTGTGCAGAGCAAAGGACATCATGGCCTTGTCTGATTTGCAGCAGCAAGGAGGGCTAACAGCAACAGCTTCGCACAACATCAAATGACTTTAATGAAATAAGCTAATGTGTTGTACCCCATAGCTGAGGCAGATTAAGAGCATGCACACACATGACGTTACTCACGCGGGCTCTCTGTGTGAGTGGCAGTTTGTTACAGCACTATCACCTGATTGCACCCAAGTGTGTGCCCATAATAGACTAGAATGATGATTTTGAGGCTTTTTCCTGCTTTTTCTTAATAGGAATAGTAAAAAACATTGATTCTACTCCCTGGCAGGCTCAGTTCAACGCAGATGTACACAGGATGTCTTGGTCTACGTTGTAACACAGGGCACAACTCTTTGCCAGGGCTTGGGAATGCTCAGAGATGCCACAGTGTGGATGGGTTCCTGGCTGCTGACTTCAACCAGGCATCTCATCCTGGTGGATATCAGTGAAGCTGTGTCCCTTGGGAATGGCTAAATGATTGATCCTTGGAAAATTAGTTGGCTGGGTTTACAAATACAGGTATAACAGAAAGGGTAATTCCCTAGTGAGTGTTGAATTGCGAGCAGGTAGAAATTTCTACTAATATATATACAGTGACACTTATGATTACAGACCTACATTTCAGATAAGCCATTGATCTGATGTAAGAAATTTAGAAATGTGAGGGTTACACTACATTAAACAACTTAATAATAAACGTGAATAATATTGATCTCTTTTTTTTCTAAAGAGATTAAACAAAAATAAGGATTTGTTAATCAAGTGATTGTGAAATTGGTACTTCCTACAACCCAGCTGGTTTGTGGAATTTGTACCACACTGATGTTCCTGTGCAAGCCCTTTTGCAGCACTTTGGGCTGAAATGTAAGCCTACAAAAACAGGTCACTGTTCTTCCAACGCTGCCAGCAGAACAGCTCCTGATGACATCTCCATGCCTGGGTATCACCAACAAGGGGCTGGCATAGTCTCCCAAGGACTTCACGTGGTGTATTTAACCTCAGTGCTGCCTCTCTCAGATGCTCCAGGCTTCCCTACAGCACATCTGGCTCTTCCCAGCTGTGATTTATCCCTCTGCCCTGTTTGTCTGCTCTGCTCTTGTTTGAGGTGACCTCATAACTGAAAAAGAGACAAACTGGAGCTGGAAATCTTATTTTAGAAGGGGGAAAATGGCAGGGAAGCGTATGAGCATCTGCCTGTCACTTCTCTCCTCTCTGCCAGGTGGATGTGACCAGGTCACTGCCATATACCTGATGGGTTCCTAATCTTTTTAGGCTCAGAGGGGGGAAATGGGGAAAAAGAGAGGCTCTGGCGAGAGAGACATGTCAAGAACAATGGTATGAGCTACTGCTCCTGCTAAGACAAAGATGAGACTTTCTTGCAAATCCAGCATCCATATACCCATACTCATGGTGCCATCTTGGGTCACCTCTTGCTCATTACAGAGCAGCTGCCTGCTGAGTCAGAGAACTTAACCATGGCAACTCCATACGTACAGACCAGTTCTGATGCCTTTGACATCTCCTCTTCGCTCTGATTTGATTTGGGTAAGACTATCCACAAAACACATTAATTCCCAGTTTCACAACAACACAGCCCATCACACCTGAAGATTCATTTCTAACCACCTGCCAGGGATTTTGCAGACTCTAGCACACAAACACCTCTCACGTATCCCATTTTTTGGGTTAAAGAACAAAACCAGAACAAGAAGAGTTGGCAATTTTGACACAAAAACTTCATTAGGTTCAGTACTTACAATTGCATGACCAGATATAAATGGTTTGGACTTTCATAGATGTCTTCCAGGGCAACTATATTTTCATGCTTGATCCTGAAAAAAAACCCACAAGATAAGGTAAGGTGAAATAGTGATTTTTATTTTGTTAAGTGGCTCTAAAGCACACAACTATTTTTAGTTAGACATTACTTGTCAGTGCTTTATCCAACATCATAAAATATGATTTTGACAGAAGTAAACAGAGTGCTTCACAGTCCAGAATGACGTTACTACACACAGAAAAATTCCTTCAACCCCCTCTGAAGCCAAAATGTTTAAGGGTTAAGTATCTGGGGTGTTAGAGGTTCACAGTTCCTCTGTCAGACAAACAAAGATGGTTGTTGGAGGTTGAAATCTCAGGACAACAGCAAAGGAAGGTGCAAGGGAACGTGGGGTCAGGGTGCAGGCTGGCAGGGAGAAGGCAGAGATTTGCCCCCATGAAGAAGCTGGCACAGGGAGGAAGCAGCCATACAACAGCCCCACACTCCTTCCCACCAAGTTCACCCTGATCCGATGTCACACCTGGCCTGGACACCCGAATTTCCCTGCAGGGTTATTAAGCACCATGAGCAATGACTCCAAACACCTTCATGGGTTTTCTACACCTTCACTATTCCCCCCGATCATTTCCACCAAGCCTCTTGTCAAAACACTAGAAAGATCACCTCTACAAGCACACATCTAATTAACTACTAGAGCAATGCCTCTCTGGGTTTGCTCCTTAACTGCTTACAAATAATTTCCAGTGGATACACTTAACTTATGCAAACCCTAAAGAGACTACCAGTACAACTCCAGGGGCAGAATATTAATTACACCAATTGCAGACAATCATTTTAAGAGCGAGAGAAAGCTGCGAAATGCTAAGCAGAGACCACTCGTTAAACAACATATGGACACGTTCAGAAAGAAAGTAAAAGTGCATTGTCAGCAAATGCAAAACTCTACATGTTTCAAGGTTTAAGTAGCTTAATTAAGGTTCTTAATCATGTGTCACGACCTCATCCTCAATTGTTCTAAGTGCCCTCAAGTCTACGTGCTGCTAAGAGCAGAAGGTCCCTTGTGCCTGGAGGATCTTTCCCGTAAGAATGCGGACTAATCCAATTTCCTCTGAATTCACTGGAAAGATTATGACTGACCTGAATTTACGCCCATAATCAGTCATCAAAAGCTGCATTCATATAAGGACCTTCACACACAGGAAATTTAATATCAACAATAAGTGAACTCAAATATAATGTACTACAGGATGTCAGAGCAACAAATACATGAGTAGGCTCCTCATTGTATATAAATACTAGGAAAACCCCATGATATTTTAGCAAAATTTCCAGGCAGGCTGCATCACAAATTAAGTTCTTAATATTGAAGACAGGAAACCAATACATTGCCCACTTGGCTTTACACAGCACATGTTTAAAAGCATTTATTTTGTTGTGCAGATTTAGTGCCCGTCCCTTAAGGGTTGCAGTTAGGACAAGGGCAGTTTTGCCTTGTTTGAGTTAACTGAAGGTATAGTACAGATGGCATTTCAAGCAAATAGTCACTTTTAATGAAAATTATTATACGTATTTATCCATTTTCCTTTATGCACATTCATGTGATCATTTGTGCACCTCCTACCATCATAATCAAGGCAGTTTTAATACTAATAATCTGCCACAGTGTTATCTGTTTAAAGCCTCCAACTTAGCCTGCAGTACGGTTTTTACTGTATTAATGCACATAGGAATGCTTTGCATTTCTATTTCTGAGAATCTCAGAGGTCTCCAAACTAACCTAACACCCTCTGAGACAGCTGCCAGCAACACCTAACTGTCACACACATGGCTAATGGCGAGGTTACCCACAAAGACAAGCAGCCAGGGAGGTAGAGGCCAGAAAAGAGCTCATCAGACATGCAACACTGCGTGCTCAGGGTTGCCACAAGACCCTCACCCCTTCCTGATTTGCAAGCCAAATGGGCACTGTGCCGCTGTGCTCTCTGAAGGACAGCAAACTTGCTCAGTTCTAAAGTGAAGGGGGGATAAAGGGTTTACTCCTCTGTATTGAGCCAATCTGATTTGAAACCAGACGTAGGATGTGAGCACGTGGGATTCGGGGAGACAGCAAATATTAAGTATCATCTGGAAGAAGGCAGCAGAAGAAGTAGAATCACCCCTAAAGCACAAAGGGAACAATCCCTCATAGGGATGAGGGTATTTGGAAGATGATGTGTCCCTCTGGGAGGTGATGCCTGTGCACACCAGCCACCCCAACTGCTGGTGGCTGCTTCACTCACAGGGCTTGCTGAGATAGGAAGGAGGCATTTTTATTCACTTTCTCTCAGCCTCCCCAGGACCAACAAGGCCTTAATCATGGAGTTACACAGCACTCAATATTCCTGGTGCAGTGTCCATTGCACACCTGCAAATGAAGTGACTTGTCCCACACTGCATTTCTCTACACAGATGAACTATCAAATGACAAACTATTTAAAGGAAAATTGAGTTAAAAATAAAACAAAAAAAAATAATGGGAATCACTTGGGGAGAAACCTGTGGTTTAGATCAAGTTGTGGGTTGTGTTGCTGAAGCTGGACCAGAGTGGCCATGGGCTTCCCAGCAGAGGTCACTGCAGCCAGCAGCAGCCGCCCTGCTGCCAAATTCATGTGCTCCTTTCTTCACTTCAAAGCATGGTCAAGCAATCGCCTACAGCACTAATACACAATAACTGACCCATCAAGGCTGAATGCTGTTCATGACAATCACACCCTGGGGTTCAGGATATCGTGTCCAGCACCATCACAGCATTTATCAATACCACAAAGGCCAGAGGGGATCAGGACAAGTTTGCCACACTTCCCTGTGAGCAGATCGGCAATGCCAGGCAGGCTGGTACAGCCAAACAGACACTTCTGGCTTGCACAGATGCTCGGATACTTCGAGAGCTGAGGAAATGGTCTTGGATCAGGAAGGATTTGGGAATGGCTTAATTAAGTCCACTTTTATCCCCCTCTAGAAGCACCAAATGAATCTCAAAGGTTCAGAGGATTCATTCTGCTAAGCTTCCAAATGCCTCCACTCAGCCCCACCGGTGATCTCGCTGAGCAGAGATACTCACTGGACTACCTGATCTCCTCAAGACCTGCTGGGGTTTATGTTTTTAAAAGGTGCTGCCCTCATTTCACAGAAAGGGACGTGGTGTGCGGAAAACCTAGATGTTCTTCTGTAATCACATGAGAGGGCGTACAGAGGGGTCCAAGAAACCAGATCCCCCAACCCCAAAGTATTATCAAAACGTGGGCATGGTTAAAGCAGATTAAATCAAATTATGTGAATCGTTACGAATTATGAACATGAAACATCCAGCTAAGGAAATCCCCCTGACCAACCTTTTAATCACCCGTTCCTCATATTTGCTGTTTTCCGTGATGTTCTCCCTGCTTCATGGCAAACCCCAGGGGCTGCTCACATCTCTACACCCAGATACGCCCCTACAAATCCCCTCATCTGTGCCATGGTGCCACCTTTAACCACTGCGGCTTTGTTTGCTTTCAGCAATATTCTGAGGCCAATTGACAGAAAGAAGATGTCTAGAAATAATACAAATAAAGACAGGTTGATACTCAAATTAATTCACTCAGGGCTCTTCACCCTACTAGGCCCAATGAGATGCTGCAATCCAGGGGACTAAGAAGAGGAAAATAAATCTATAAGTGAGAATTAGGGAAATTTAAGTACACAAAAAATGATGAAGAGTGATTAATCCTGTTAAGAAACCATGAAAAGACAGGATGGATTCACCACTTTCAGAGCAGCACTGGTTTGGATGCCGTGCTGCAGGCAGACACAAGCCACAAGGCTTAATGCAACCATGCAAAATTACCAACTTTCCCCTCCAGTCTTCCAGGTCTGTGATCCTGCCCATGAGCTGTTATAAAGGTGCCAACAACACAAATGAATGGAGGCAGTTTTGCACATAAGCAATATTTTAACATACGAGCAGATTGCTAGCCAAGACTTAAAGGAGCAAACTGAACTGGGCAACTGGCTTCAGGTGACTTTTCCAAGCACGGCAGCTGTGCAGACAAGGGCTGATGGAAGAGCTTTTGATCTGCTTCAGAGCCCCCAGCACAGACTGGTCCTCTTTGCTTGCTGAGCAGGTGCTGCACAAGAGCATTGACAGGGGAATCGTCATTTTAACCTGACTTCTTCAGCATTCAGTGCTGCTGAAGCACAGAAATGTCTGCCTCTGAAGGAGCTGAAACCCATCCCGGAAACAAGACCCAACTTGACCAGGAGTGGCATTTGCCCTGCATGACAGTTTCCATCATGCCAAACTGGGTGTGCTGTGGCGCAGGAGTAGTGATGAGTACATGGCGTGGCTCTCCAGTGATGCTAAATCCACCCTCGCCACTGGCCTTCACAGAACTGCCACGTCCTACTCACTGCCACCAGAAGGGCACAAGCCCTGTAAGTCCAGAACTAGTCCTAATGGCAAAACTCACTTCAACATTCATAAAGTTTAAATAGATAATTAAACAAATAAATAAAATCAATATATTCCATGGGCTTCGGCTTCACATGGCTTTTACAAAGCGAAGGATTAAAGTTGACATACAATGAGGGAAACTAAATCCTTTAATGACTGAGCTCCCTGTACACCTCTGTTGGCTCCTGACCATCCCAGGGGCCAAAAGCTGAAAGTAAACTTGTTGCATATTGCCATGGATCATTAATTAGAGTAATAGCATTCTGCAAAGATAAAAGCCGAGGATGAGATTTTGCTGTCGCTTTGGCTGCAGAGCTGCCAGGAGAGCATATTAAGTACCCCAGCTGCAAAGGCATTCTTTAAAGTACGATTGAATCACTGATATTAACATCTATCATATTTAACACAGAAAACTAGAATCAGTTAGAAGAATACTGTACAAAAAACCCTGGGCAAACATGAGAGCTATTTAAGTAGGGCAGGTTCCCTCTACTAACAACTCTTTCCGAACCGGAGTGTTACATTTGCAAGACATGACATTTAATGCTGCACACCCATGAACAGCACGTGTCACAGATAAA